CTAATGTCAAGTTGGACCTCACAGGGGAGAGCTCCAGTCAGGTCACTGGCTGGCGAAGGAAAGAAACGCTTCTTGGAGGCTTTGGGAAAATCAGTCTCCCTTCTGGGCCTCAGTTTCCCTCCTGTGCTAAGTATTCCTCCTACCTGTTGACCTGAACAGACTCTCTCCTTCCTTGGGTCAGTCCCTACAAGATCCAAGGTTAGGAGAGTCTCTCAGCCTGGTGACTCCCCCGGAGACAACCCCACCCCCAGGGACGATATTCCACAATTCCACTTTCAAATGCCCCAAATAAGCTTTGCTGGGAAGACCGCAGCAGGCTGGAAAGCGGAAGCTCCTGTGTAACTATCACGTGAGCATGTGTGCCTCGGCTCCCTCGGTCCTTATCTCCAGACCCAGCTGCAAACTCGATGTATTTATTTGCTCTGATGTGTGTAAGGGGGTGGGGCTCCATCCAACCCACAGGTCTGCCGGCACTGTGAGAAAGTGACCTTCCTGCAGATGGCTGTCTGCTAGCCAGGTGGGGGCCCAGGGGAGGCAAGGGCTGCTATAAATCCCTCCAGCCTGCCACCAAGGGGGTGACCCCCCATCAGGGTAGAGGACATTGTTGAGGGGACTTGGGAAACTGGTGATAGAACGGCCTAGATTCTACACTGGGACACAGAAAGAGGGGCCCATAACAAGGGAAGAGAGGGGAGGGGGGTGGAAAGAGGAGGGACATGGGGGGGTGCAAAAGCCTGTTCTGGGAGTCAGCATGCATGCAGGCTTCTTTATTGAGAAGGGAGGTGAGTGCTTCATTGTGTTGTGTTGCTGATTTGCTAAAGGTGAGCATTTGTTTAAGCCTTAGGAATTATGCAGGACTCTGTGTTGCCCTTAATTTGCACACAACGGTGCTGTTTTAGATAGACAGCCGGCCCCATTTCATACTGGTCTTACCACACTGGTCTGACTGGCTGGCTTTTGGGAATTTTTTTTTTTTTTTTGTGGTTAGCTAGCTGGCTTTTGTAATCCGCCTGGCTATCGAGTTGGAGATATTTATAACATGCGTGAACTGCATTGTACTCCAGGCAGCTGGGCTTGGAGAGAATTCCTGTGAGCTGAATTTAAGGAAGTTCCTTGAGCCAAGACTGAAGGAATTTTCCCCTCGTTTGACAACAAACACATTTTGTACAATTGGATAGGAACTTCCAAACGTCCAGGGTGTGTGTGTGTGTGTGTGTGCGTGTGTGTGTGTGTGTGTATAAATGATGGGAAGGGCGAGTGGAAATTCTAGACCTCTCCCCAGGCAGCCTCTTCACTCGAGCCCAGTGGGTCTGGAGCCCACACATGGATTCACTCACCCAAAGCAAATGAAAGTCCTGCCTACTGGTCGGGATCCCCAGGGTCAGCATGGCCGTCAGGTAGGACTGAGGGGGGATGTGTCCTGGAGACCTTACCCACACCTTCTTTCCCTTCTCTCCGGATGTTCCCACCCCCACAGAAGGCTCAGCACCCCACGACCACTTCTCACTTCCGCTGTAACTGGGAAGGGGGTCTTTCCAGAAACTGCACATCCCTGACAAGGGTGAACAGCTAGCTGCCCCCTGTAGGCCCAGCCGCTATGAAAGGAAACACTCCTGTCAGAGGCCACAAATCTGCAAGGTCCTGGAGAAGGCACAGCACATCGTGCATGGAAGCTTCAGCTGGAATGGGAAATAGGACACAAATCATCCTAGAAGATTCCTTAGGGGGCGGTAATGAAGCAAAGAGAGGATGAGAGACACTGCCCTAAATTTTAAAAAATTAGAATTAGGATAGACTTGAGCAGTGGGACCAGAAGTTTGAGGGAGATGGTAGCTTCAGAGGCCCGGCATTTCCTGTCACCTGAGACTGGACAGCCAGAAGCCACTGAAGGAGACAGGAAACCTACTCCCAAGCTCAGGCCAGGTGCAGTGGGGAAGGTGTGTGTGTGTGTGTGTGTGTGTGTGTGTGTGTGTGTGTGTGTGTATGTGGTTACAAATGATACTAGACGTGGACTCCCTGTAGGAATCAATTCTACTTCTACCACAGGCAGGAGAGCTGACCTTGAACAAGACATGGCCTTGCTGTTCATTGGAAGGATGAAGGCAAAGGTGTAATGAAATAATATGGCAGGGAGGTGGTGAAGCTGTGCGTGCCACTGGCTAAGGCGCATCCGGCACACAGTCTCCCTCCCAGTGTGAGAGCTGGGAGTACTGCTCTCCTGGACGTCCTGGGCTCCTGTCCAGTGAGATCTGCACGTGCCTCAGTCCCTCCCATGATGAGTGGGCTTGGCCCCACTGGGGTTCAGTGAGATGCAATAGAGGCCCATCTAATCGCTTCTAAAAGACCATCCCAGAAAGGGATCCAGCATGCACTGGGGTGCCATGTTGACTCAGAAGCTTCAAGAACTTCTCGGTTGCTAAAGTCACAAGGACCTGGAGACTAAAGAGTGATCTACTTGGCTTCTAACTGGACTTCCAACCTTCCATCCAAGTGTGACCCTGAGTCTGTTCTAAGCTCCCACTTTACCGTCTATTCTCAGCTTGACTGTAGGTCAAGCTCCCCACCCCCCACCCCCAGACAGCTAGCTTAACACATGCCCCCTAACCCTGCTCGGTTCTCCACGCTCCCCTAGCCTTCATCCTAATTTCACAGATTACCCAACAGTTCCCCAAACTGAGATCATATGCTTCCACATTCACAGGCTTGCTGTGCCTGTGTCCCTGCTGGGCTTGTAGTTGCTTAATATTGATGATAAGTAGACCTTTAAAGAATTCCATGACAGTGCCATTCTGAGAGACAGTACCTCAGAAATATATGTTCTGAAATATGTGTTCATCAAATAAATATAAAAAGCTCAACATTGGAAAATTGTTCTCCATGGGTCAGGTGCCTAAAGCTGTCTTCTGGAGTCCCAGAAGAATACACAGCACTCTACCAACGGTCGGCATAATTTAAGCTTAGGATACCAACCTCTCGGGAGTGCTGTGCACACTGGTCTCCAAACAGCAACCCCTGGGCAGACATGTGGGCTGTGGCGCCCTCTGCTGACAGAATTTGGGAGTAATGTGAGCTTGGTTTCTCTTCTCCCTGGGCTTGTTCAGTGTCCTGACTTAATGTTTAGGGCATCACAGCTAGGAACCATACACAAACTAGCTGTGCCATTTTCTTAACGCAGAATAAGGGTACAATGTGAGACAGAGACCCTGAATTCAGAGAAGTTGGACAAACCTGATGTGCGGTGGGCGGGGTGTCTCAGAAGATCTGGGGGTTCTGCTGAGATGTTAGGCTTTGAAGGCGGGATGGTGGGGTCCAGGGTGGCAGAACAGCAGCACCTGGGTAGCATATGGGTGTTGTGCAGACTGGAGAAACATGGCTGGGGCTGGGCTAAGCAGACTTTCAAGGAACATTCACAAGAACTTGAACGAGCTAGCTTTTGGTTCCCCAAAGAGGGGCGGGACAGAGATAAACCAAGTGGCTCCAGGAAACCTGTTCTCTATTTCAGGTCCTTCTCCCATTGGGTGTGTTAGGAACACGGAGCCAACTACTGCTCAGGGGCTACAAGGTGGCACCTGACTCTTTGGCTCCTACAGACCTAGACCACTCTCCCCCAACACAGTGTGTATTAATATTACTATTTTGCTAAGATTTGCTGTTGGTTTTCTTATAAAATGGTAGCTTTTATCTTACGTGTTAGTGAAATAAGACCTTAAGATCAGAAAACTGATTTTCTCATTGATTCTAGCAAAGATCTCATAAAGTAAAAATGATGTGGGAAGTCCTGTATGTGTGTTGGTTTTATGGGTTAGTGAATAAAGAAACTGCTTTGGCCTGTGATAGGGCAGAATCACAGAGCTAGGTAAGAAAACTAAACTGAATGCTGGAAGAAAGAAGGTGGAGTTAGGAAGACACCATGTAGCCGCCAGAGGAGAAAGATGCAAGCCACCAGCTAAACTTTGCTGGTAGGCCACGAGCCTCATGGTAAAATATAAAATAATGGAAATGGGTTAATTTAAGACATAAGAGCTAGCTAAAAATATGCTTAAATTATGGGCCAAGCAGTGTTTTAATTAATACATATTTCTGTGTGATTATTTCGAGAATCTGGGCAGCTGGGAAACGAGCAAGCAGCCTCCATCAACATAAAAATACAACACATATCATCTCATTTACAAAGGAGCTGCCTGGGAACCAGCGAGTTAACAGTGCCAGATCAGGGCCACAAGCTCCCAGGAACTGAATTCCAGTGTCCTAACTTGTAGTCCAATAAGGTCTTGGTTGTTGTTGGTAGTGGTGGTAGGGTAAATCTTGACAGAATTTTAAAATGTAGTATACACAGTATATTTAAACTGTGATAATTTTTGGTCAAAGGGTCAAACAGAGCTCCAGGAATGAAACTTAGGCACCTGGGACAGGAAGTGGGTATAATAATGATGCTGGTGAACAAGGTATCACCTGGCTCTTCACCCAGCCAAGGAGCACTAGAATGCTGTGCACTGAAGCCTTGAACGTTGTAAGTTAAGTTCCACCCAGGATATCAAAGACACTGCACGAACACACTGTCAACGTCCTGCACTGCCCCTCAATTTCAGTTTATAGGATTTTATTGCCCGCTCTAGAAACTTGAAAGCAGGAGAGGCCCCAGAAGCAAAGGGCCTGCAGGTCCTGGTCTCTGGCCCCCACCTCACCTTAGGAGGGAATACTCAAAGTTGGTGCCTCTCCCCTTTGGGAATGACCCTGTGTAAAGTCTGCTTGGGTTTTCCTACTTGAAATAGAGGATTCATAACCTTAATGCCTTTATCTCTGAACAAGGGCATGCTCAGCTCTGCCAGACTCAGAAAGATTTCCCCGAGTCAAGTTGGGGAATTACCTGCTCACCCATGCCTGGGAGAGCCTCTTGTCCCCATGGAAGAGCAGGCTTGATGGATCTAGGAAAGGAAGGCTGGGTGCAGTTTGTGATTGGAACATTAGGCTTTTGAGATGCATATATTTGCCAGGCAATATGTGGTGATGCATACCTTTAATCGCAGAATTGTGGGGCAGGAGCAGGTAGAGCTCTGAGTTCGAGGCCAGCCTGGTCTACAGAGTGAGTTCCAGAAAAGCAAGGGCCACACTGAGAAACCCTGCCTCCGAAAACCAAGGGGGGAAAAAGATTCACATATTAGTAACGGCTGCAATGGCAGATAGGACAAGGTGTTACCTTCTTCCCTATGTTCTAAATCCATGATCAGCCGCAAGTGAAGACAGCCGTCCTGGTGCAGCTGGGACTCAGTGGGCCCTTTTAGTTCAGGAATAGGTTGAGGGTGAGGTATAAGGCATGGCCCCAGCGCCACCTCGCCTCTACATCCAGGCTAGAGGCTCAGCCTCTCTTCCTCTCCCATTCTCAGCCCCACCTAGAACCAGCACTCTAGTGGATTGCCGTCAGAGTTCAGCCTCACCTGGTATGGATGAGCTTTTACAGAATTCCTTAAAACACTGGGACACCCATAGGATGGGTCAGAGGTGTGGGGATGCAGGCATCACCCACATGAAAGTGGAGACTCCCGGCCAGTCAAGACTGGACCTCTGGGCTATCTGGGAAATACCCTAGGAGCAGGAAGCAGGGAATGGGTCCAGGGTGAGGAGGCAGACAACGCTAGCAGCAGTTCAATTAACCATAGGGAAAGGCTGACCTTCAAGATGACTATAAGGTTGGGGACCAAAGGCTTGGCATGAGAGTTGGATCCAAGGGTGAGGATGCTTCTTATCTGCGGCCCCAGCAAGCTGCTGCCCATGCCTGAGAGCCCAGGATGACAGAGCTGGCTGGGGATTCTGAGATAATAACACGGGTCAGCCAGCCCATTTCACAGAACACTGGAGCGGAGCTCTGACCTTTTCCTAACCATAGTCAATGTACACAGCCAGGGACTCTCTCTACTTCCCTTTGAGGGGAGGTGGCCTGTGACAGCAGTGACCCTCAGAATTGAGCATATAGTGCCACCCGGAGAACCTGCTAATGCTGCAGGCTCTACTCCAGAGAATCTGATTCTGGGGACCTTGAGTAAGGCCCATAGATTCACCTTCCTCTAGATGTAAGTGCCCCACTGGGTGTCCCTTGGAAGAACTGAATGCAAGGAGGGGCTACACGGCCTGATGAACACAGAATAAATCGTCTGTAGAAACAGGGATATGGATGGATGGGGCAACAGCTTCTAGTTCTCTCTGCTGCTAGAAGACCCCTTTGGAATGAAAGTGTTAAAAATAAATAAAAGTGAACACAGTTGGGCCTTTGGCCAGTGGGAGCTGGGAGAACCCAAATTCAAGAAGGGCAGTTTGGTTTGAAAGGCACTTTGGGTGCCCATAGGGCTGGCTGCTGGTATAGTGGCAAGCAATGCTTAGAGCAGGGGTTCTCAAGCCGTGGGTCGCGACCACGGGAAAACACGTCTTTTCGATGGTCTTAGAAACGGAGACACCGCTCAGTAGCAAAACTGCGGTTACTACTGGGTGTTTTCCAGTAGTTGCAACCCACAGGTTGAGAACTTCTTTCTTAAGGTGTTATTCGTGGGGACTTATCAGGAGATCACTTGGGACATTGAGCATCAGGGAAGAGCTGCAAGGCCACCTATGGCCGTGGTAGGTGAGGTGACTGGGGCCATATGAGGGCCAACCAGAGAGCCCAGAGGCCATGCCATCTTTACTCAAGTCTTCCTGAGTCTGGCTTCTCAGGGAGGGGCTAGGTCTGGGGTGCCCTTGGCGACTGCTGCAGGAATTTCAGAGGAAGAGTGTTTGGTCCCAGATAAAGGGCAGCTATCCTGAACTAAACAGCAGGTCTGTATGGAAGACTAAGACCTGGGAATGCGGTGAAGGGCAGGCCTGGCTCAGGGACGCTGCTCGCTCTGTGGCCACCTGCTAAGACAGGCATCCCTTCCTTTCAGGTCTGCTGGGAGGCCTTTTTGGCCAAGCTCTGGCCAGAGAAAGGAGCAGAGTTGCCTTCTGCCACGGCTGGGGCACAGCCTTCCAACAGTCCTTCCATATAGGTGCTCAGAGCCTGGAGGTACTGAGCAAGCTGGGAGGAAGCCGACGACGAGAAGGTCTGCAGGCTCAGATAGCGGCCATACCGCTTCAAGCCCTCTTGTCGGTTGTTGCGGTATGCGGTCAGCAACTCCAGGAAGCTCACATTGTGGAGGGCCAAGAGGCGGGCCTCAGGCCGGGGCAGGACACTCGCCTGAACTAGGGGTTGCAGGGAGGCAAAGCACTGCAAGTTGCTGAAGGGGTAGACATGCTGGTCCAGCTGCGGCCCTGGAGAGACCTCCAGGAGGCAGCACAAGTCTCGCATGGCCAGCACCGCAGCCAGGGCGCTCCGCTCACTCATGTTTCTCGCCAGGTAGGTCTTGGCCAGGTTCCTGAGTTTGAGGCTGCTGGCGCCTGGGATGCGCTCCTGGATGAGAGGCAACACAGCCAAGAAGCCGGAGATGGAGACCTGGAATTCCCACTGCTTGTTAATACCATTCAGGGCCTGGAAGAAGATGGGGAGTCCAGGCCCCCACAGCTTGGAGCAGGCCAAGATGGGGCGGTGCATGGAGGTGAGGAAGCTGAGGAAGTGCTGCAGTCCAACCTCCAGGGAGACGGCCTTCGAGTAGACACTGAAGGCCTCGGGCTGAATGAGTACTCGGAACTTGCTTTCCTGGTTCACGGCTGCCAGTTGGCTAATTTTCTGGGCTAGGCAGGAAAGAGGGGCAGGGTGAGGTTCCAGGGCTCAAGAGGCACTGGGGTGGGTGCGAGAGGTCAGGCTGCTGACCCGCTACCTCGGGAGCCCACCTTGAGGTCTACCAGCAGGAAGCAAATATCCTCTGTATATAATTCTTGCCTGGCTCTGATGGGAGAGAGGGGGTCCGGGGACTCACCTGTCAGAAAGTCACCTGTCACCTATGCTTCCTGCCCTAAAGTTGGCCCAACCCTGAGAACTCCTCCCCTTCTGTATTTTCTCAGCCTCCACCTCCACCAGAGACACCAGAGTGGTTCTGTTCTCCTGCTCCTACCTCCAACCCCAGCAGTCCCAGTTGGACCAAAGCCCAGGGCTGCAGACAGCAGAAACAGCCTGTGTACCCGCTAAGAGCATGGCCTGGAATCTCCTCCTGAAGCCTACAGAAGGCTTTTTTGTGCTATGCAAATACTTAATGCTTCTGGCTGGTAGGCTAGCCACAGTGACAGGGCCCATAACTGTTGGCCAGGGCAAAGGGTCAGAGCTGAGGGGCCAGGCAAGGAGGACAGCGAGGAAGACAAGGGGCTCCCAGGAGGAGGAGGAGTCAGAGCTCCCTGTGGCCTAGGTTCTGCAGGCCTCCCTGTGCATCCATTTGTTGGATAGGGCCTGCTCTGGGAAAGGTGTGATCACAGCCAAAGGTCAAGGGCGGATTACTTGTCAGCAATGAGCTCACCGTTCCCTGCCTCTTCGTACAGAGGTCTTGTCAGAAGTGAACCTATGGCCTTACATGTCTCCCTCCCACAGCCAAGTTCCACTGCAGGTAGACACAGGAACTTCAGGCATCCAATGGTGGGGGGCGGTCAGAGTCCTCTGTCCACCTGGCTGTCATGGCCCGCCAGTGCTAAGGGCGGCTGGAACCTGCACTTTTCCTGGGTACTCAGAGACTAAGACAGAAAGAAGTGGCACAGCTCATGGAGAACCCACTTTCATTGTCGATCTTGAGGTCAAAGAATACCAGAGGCCTGTCTTCTGCTTGGGGGTCAGCGAGACTCTCATTCGATGCCTTGAGGAAATTGGGGCCCTCCAGCTGGAGGCCACTGGACTCACTGCCGCTATCATCCAGCTCGTTGGGGGACTGCAACACAAAAGAGCCAACAGGTCAGGGGTTCAGAGGCCCGAAGGTCCGGGCAAGATGAACCTGTGCTCACATACAGGACGGTGTAAGCATGTGTGCACCAGAGGGCAGAACAGAGGGGATGCACAAAGGCGTGTGTAGGTGTGAACTGGGTCACACATGTGAGCCTGGGCACACAGCTTAAGCAGGGAGGTGTGAGAGGGTAGGACCATACAAGTGAACGTGAGTACACATGAGTGCGTACAGGTACGGATGTGGGGATACATGTGTGAGGGTTATGGATCTATGAACAATGCTGACACAAGCGTGTGAAAGTTTGAGATGGGGTGGGGGTGGGGCAAGTTGCTCCTGCTTGTGGCAGATCAGGGAGGTGGGTCAACGGCTCAGGCCTGAGATAAATCTGTTCCTAATTTCACCTCTCTAAGCAGACTGAGAAGAAACAAACGGGAACAAATTCACAACCCCAGGCAATTCTTTGGAAGCGGGAGGGGTCTGGCTATCCTAGCCCTCAGGATCACAATGACCCACAGTGTCTTGCAGTTTAGGGAAAGAAAGAAATGCATGGCCTTTTGAAGACCACATCTAGGTGGACAGACACACGTTCCCTGGCTGGGAGAGGGTCTGATAGGGAGCAGCTCAGAGCCTCAGATCCTGGAGACCTCAACTCTCCACACCCACACCTCAGCTGCACAGAGAAGCCTTGGAACTCTGGTACCCACCGCAGGCTGACACCATTTCAAGGGCCCCAGGGAAGGGAAGGACTCTTTCTACTCCTGAGATTTTCCCCAGGAGCTGGGGCTACAGACAGGTTAGAATGTCTGAGGACAAAACACCAAGTTATTTAACAGCACAGCTGCTGAATGTCCTGCGAATGCCTCTTTTGGACATTAGACAGGGCAAAGTGGAACAGATGGGGAACAGCTGGGACAGAGCCCAGATAAGGCCCCAAGTCTGTCTTCTTACACACTGCTCTGGTAGTCAATGGAGTTATCTCCTGGGGCTGAGGCCTCTGTCCACTGTGGTCTCCAGTTAATGTCTCAGGCTTGAGACAGAGTTAGCATAACTGCGGTCCTGGTTGTTGTTTTTTGTTAATTTGACACAAGATTACCTGAGAAGGGGGAACTACAATCAGAGAAATGCCTCCAAAAGACTGTGCTTAGGCAACCTGCAGGGCATTTTCTTAATTAGTGATTGATATGAGAGGGCAAAGCCCACTGTGGGTGGTGTCATTCCCTAGGCAGATGGCCCTGGGGTGTATAAGAAAGCCGGCTGAGCAAGTCAAGAGGAGTAAGCCAATAAGCAGCACCCCTCCATTGATTCCCCCGTCAGCTCCTGCCTTGAGTTCCTGCCCTGACTTCCCTGGATGAGAGACCACAAGCTGTAGCCTGAAATAAGCCCTTTCCTGCACAAGCTGCTTTAGGCCATGCTGTTTATCACCCAGCCTTCCAAAACCACTTGCTTTCCACAAACCTTCAGCCAAGAGAAGTCGTATTGCTCCCTAGAAGGCTAACCAGAGCTGGGCTTTCCTATAGGACTTCTTCCCAGTCTCCTTGCACCCAGAGACCCCCACGTTGCTTGCCTTCCCCATGAGGGCCTTCCTGGAGGGTCCTCCTCGTTGTTAGGCATGAGCAATAGACTCAGTTCTGTGCTCCACACAAGAATCCGGTCATTTTCTGTCTGAAGCTTCCAGTGTCTTCCTCTACTCAGGGCTTCTGTCTGTAAGACCCAGTCAGTGTCTATCCTCACACATGGACTGGGGGCAGAGCTGAGTCACCACGGTTATGTCCTTCCCTGGTCGGGGAATGTTCACTCTCGCCAACTGTTGAAGAGCCGGCTCACCAGCCTGGTTGATTCTGCTCCCACTGCAATGACACATGGGCTTCATCTTCCCTGTCTCAAAAGAACCCTTTGTAGCTCCAGATGCTTCCATCTGACTCCTGGCAATGACTTCCATCTCCTGGCGATATCTCTTCAGGCCTTGAAGGCAGTCTTCCAGAGCAGGATACCTGGAGTGCCACACAGCTGGACCTTCTGGTTAGCGCCTTCATCTTCACACCACATAGCAGGAAGCCTCCTTTCTAAATCGGCGTTCTCTGAGGGAAACTGTGGGTGTCTCAGTAAGATGCCTCTTTCCCTTCCTCTGAGCTGCGACTGTCGGAAAGGCTGGATCTTTCTTTTAGCCTAGACACAGCCCTCCCTCCCCCCATCTCTGAGAACTGCCATGCACGATGGCAAAGGCTGGTCTCTCTGGAACACCATGTACTTAACTTAGAAGCTGTAAACTCCTTATTCGCCTCTCCTCTTAAATCCCAAGCCAGCCTGGCAGAAGTGGACCATTTAAGCAAGATATCTCTAAAGAGGAGCACCTACAGGGAGGGCACACAGAGCAGCCTTCCCTCCTAGCTCAGCAAGGGAGCCTCTGGTCACACCTGCAGCCCTCACTCCTCCATCTTATTCCAAAAACCAGAACAGGGCCGAGAAAAGAAAGGTTGGTCCAGGAATGAGAACAGCAAAGGGAACAGAAAAACACTTTAAGAAACTGTGGCGTGATGATGAGAGCCCAAGGCACAGGATGGGGGACTTAAGTGTCACTGTGGGCTGTAAGTTTCCCTTCCCAGTTCCCGGACAGAGGCAAGAGCCAGCCTTTCTTGTCCCTCCTATATCACACCCACGATGTAAATGTCACTTTCCTTAAAACAAGCAAACATTCCTCTCACCCAGGTGCTCAAGTGAATCCCCCAATGCAGTGGTGCTTGATTTCGGCCAGGCCTTAGTGGCATAAAAAGCTCTGGAAGGCCAGGCTGCACAGGGAACAATTCAACTAGAATCTGTAGGAGCGGAACCCAGCAATCTGCAATCGCTTCAACTCCTCGGTGCACAGCCAGGCTTGAGAACCCCTGGCCTACAAAGCGGTTCATTCCATGTTTGATCATCAACTGAACAGACACAAGCCAAATCCTTTAGGAGGCCAGCATTCCACTTCGAGGAGCCTTCCAGTGTCTTCCGTTAGTGTTTAGTGAGAGCTGTGTTTCCGGGGAATCTTACTCAGCACTTAAGCTTCAGCCACAGCCGGCCTCAGTTTAGCAAGACACACGCATCTCTGGGGTTTAGAGACACAAACTCCTAGTTCTTGCAGTCGGGAGGTCTTGGAGGCACAACAGAGATATTAGGAAACCAGGCCGTCTAATTGACTGCTATGACCCTTCTGCCTGCTGCTCCAGCCCTTCCGCGGGCAGTTCTGCTCTTGGGCAAACAGCTCCACTTTCTCAGCCAAGTGCCCGACTCACATTCTCTGATATGCATACTCAACGATATCGTGACTGCATAGCACCAGCTGCTGCCCGTGGACTTCTCTTCCTCGGCCAGCCATTGTTGCTAGATCTATCACAGGCTGCCCCCTAGCTGAACCCCTTCCAGTTGGTCCTTCTGCTACCAAGGTGTCTGGTCATCTGTCACAAACAGGGCTGAGAATACCTGTCTCTTCTGCTGTGACTCCCCAGACAGTGGCCCTGGCTAGGTGCAGGGCTCACTCACCCTTCCAGGGTTTAGGCAACAATTCTCATCCCATGGACTCTACAAGAGACCGAGACTTGCCTCCTGCTCCAAATCTGTGACCCTGCTGTAAGGGCGAGCTCTTCCAATGGATTTCTCCTTGCTCAGTCTCTCCTCTCAGACAAAGCTAGCTGCAAGCCAAGCTGGGGCCTACCTCCACTGCTTCACTAGGAAAAGGCGGCACCTGAGCAGGCCAATACTATATAGAAAAGCCCCTCGTGGCAAGGCAGAACATAGGCCTCATAGTGAGGATATGTAGCTGGATAGCCTAGGGCACTGTCCCTCCCTCCAAGCTGCAGAGTGGGGATATATAGGGAGGTATGCTGTAGTGTCTCAGGGGCTTGGGAGGGTCCTTGGAGTTGAGAATGAGATGCGCAAGAGGACCTAGTAATGGTTAGTTTTTACGTAGACTCACAAAAGCAGTGGGCTTTTCTCTTCTGCTCCCCAGGTTTGCTCTGCACAGCGAGCAATGCCTTCTAGCACCTCTTCCTAGCCTAAAAAACCTCTTCCTCCCTCCTCCTTTGATGACCCTGATACCCATTAAGATGGTGGAACTCAACCCTGCACAATGTCCAGGAAAACTGCTGGAACCCTTTTCTCCATCGCTCCTTCCTAGGCGTCCTTCCCCCTCCACCCACAGGTAGTAGCTTGAACTTTATCAAAGGTGATGAGCTAGAAAGAAATGTCCAGGTATTGGAAGAATATAAGCCATAGGAAGGCAAGGATTACATTTTGGACAGAGGTGAGACACAATTAAAAGGGGTCTCCTGGGCTCTCACATTGTGTGCCTTGGCAGATAGTAGGGTGCTAACATGAGAGGAGAGAGAGAGAATGTGTGAGGTATACATGGGGCATCTAGGCAGAGGTAGAAGGCCCTGACATGCTAGTCTGGCAGTCAGGAGCAAGCATGGGCAACAACAGTTCTCTCCGGGTAACAACTACTCGGAGTGGGCTGCACAGAGTATAGGGAAAAGAAGGTCCAGAGCCAATGCCAGAACACCAGCCTTTATAAGAGCAAGGAGACTTGGAATGAAGCACCCAGAGATGCAAAGAGAAGACAGATTTCTGGGAAGAGGCCAACCCAGTCAAGAATGCCGTGGACTATCTAGGACCACTGTGCAGAAAAGCCTGGAGCTTCCCTGGGACTGATGGATAGGGTTTGTAGGCAGGGTGGGAGGTGCAGGAAGTGAGATGAGCAACGTGAAGCACAGGCCAAGGGAGAAGCAGGGAGTGGGCGGCGACTGGCAAGAAGACAGTGGAAGAATCAAAAGACGCAGGCTGATGAGCATGAGACAGTGAGGCTTCCCACAGGGCCATGGCTGGGCTAGCGGGGCCAGGACACAGGTGTGGGTCTTAGAGGCAGGCAGACTTCCAGGCAGAAGGGTAGATGAAGGGAAGGGATAGCAACAGGCAGATCTGTAATTAGGTAGCAGATGCCCATGATTCTCACAGTCAAAAGGGTTTCTGTTTCCTCCCAGGGTGAAACATACAGTCAAGAGGTAAGAGTTGAGGACCAGGATGAAGCCCAGAGACATATCCCTGGAGAGCCAAATGAGAGTAGACAAGTGTGACCAGAAGCCCTTTGCTCTTTGCCTTCCTGTGTAGCTTTTCTCCAGCTTGCCTCCAGGGGGCAGCAGAGAGTCAACAGGGCTCTGAATCTTCCTGAGGTTGTTTCTGCCAGCAGGTGTCCACCTCAGCTGGAGGGAGGTGATGGTAGGTTTGAGGGCTCAAGGAACAAGAGGCTGTGGTCATCAGAGCAGTCCATTTAGAGATGGTGTCAAGGAACACAGTATGGTCATATCACTGCTTGGCAACTGAAGTGACAGGCTGAAGGTCCTTCAGACATCAAGGAGTGTAGGACAGATGGTGGGTGTTAAAATCAACCAGGAAGAAAGCAAGGCATGAGGGGGAGAGGAAATCTAGGGGGCAGATGGTCCTATCTTCCCTTCCATGAGAGGGGAGGTGGGCAGGGGTCTAAGACAAACTGGGGAAATAAAGCTAGCTACACCCTAAAAGCTGGACCTCAAAACTACTAACAGATGGACTGTACAGGCCTTGTGCTGCTTCTCACTTTGGATGCTCCTAAGTGTGGAAGGAGGACAGCCATGGCTTCCCCCAGAGAAGGACCAGGTTCCAGGCAGGGGGAAGACAAACGCCCCCACAGGGAATATCCTACACAGGATCTGATGGCCATGGAATAAGGGTTCACAACGGAGATCATTTAACAAGTATTTATTGAGCAGTCATACCAGCAGGTCTTGGGATGGATAGAGTCTCTGCATTCATGGGCAGGGATATCTGGTCACAAGACTGCAGACAGTGAGATGGGGTGGCAAGCAACCACAGAGGAGGGAAGAACTCAGGTTCTCACGGGCCCATCTGATAGAGGGCCCAGGCCTGGACTGGTAGGGATGAGACCTCTTGAGTGGGTAGGATGGTGGTAATGAGATTTCAAAAACTTCAAGGTGGGCCTTGAACTTGGGTTTCTCCATGGGGACTGTATTAGAATCTTTGAGGGGACCGGCTAGTATGGGAGGTCCTTCTGTATATGTGTTGTTTTTATTGGTTAATGAATAAAGAATCTGCCTTGGCCTGTGATAGGGTAGAATAGGGCTAGACAGGGAAAAATAAACTGAATGCTGGGAAAAAAGAAGGGAGAGTCAGTGAGAAGCCATGTAGCTCCACCAGAAACAGATGCAGGACAAAACCTTGCCAGTAAGCTACAGCCACATGGTTATACACAGATTAATAGAAATGGGTTAAATTAAGATGTAAGAGCTAGCCAATAAGAAGCTAGAGCTAATAGGCCAAGCAGTGATTTAATTAATATAGTTTCTGAGTGATTATTTCGTGGTCTTGGCAGCCAGGAATGAACAAGCGGACTCCTATTACAACCTGTGCACCACCCATGGAAGAAGCATTAGGTAGAGAAGTCATAAAGGAGCAAGGGAGAGAAGTAAGTTGCAAAGCCACTGGTGAAAATCAAGGGAGGCCTGGGAGAGCCCTGAAGGCTCTGCACATCCATCAGAGTGTGCTGATGGTATGCAGGCATCAGCAGGATGCCCGGGATGCCCTTTGGTGGTAGGGGTGGTGGCCTGAGCTACAAGAGGAGGCCTGTGTTGGGGCACAATATCCCTGGGGGATAAAGGTCACTGAGGCTGTGATGAAGGCAGGTGGCTTTCCTTGCTTTGTATGAGAAAATGTAGATCTGACAGAGGACAGCAGCAAACTTCTGGCAAGTGGTAGGTTGGTCGGAAGACTCAGGTCAGGGCTGGCAGCTTGCTCAGTGGGATGATGGGAAGACCAAGCTGGTGGCTGGGAGGCGCCTTGAGGTAGACTGCAGACCCTGTTGGAGTGGGAGGTCCCGTGTGGGTGGGAGGCTCTTTGGGTTCTCAGCAGGAAGGAGTGGGTTGGTGAAAAGGGTGCGGCAGTCATGTTCAGTGGTTTTGTATAATTTCCAAAATGGAATCCCAGATTGTAGGCTGGAAAGAACCTTGGGGGCCCTGATCTAATCTTTCTCTCTACTCAGGTTCTGTTTTTCCCTGGACACTTAACAGCCTCACCTCTAATAACATACCTCCAGGTACAGAAGAGTCACTGGTTTTATTATAATACGCCTTTAAAGACATTTTCTAATACAAAATAAATTCTTGCATGTAGTTCTTGTGGTGGTTTGAATGAGAATGTTACCCATAAGCTCAAATGTTTGAATACTTGGATCCCAGACGGTGGAACTGTTTGGGAAGGATAGGAGGTGTGGCCTTGTTAGAGAAGGTCTGTCACTGGGAGTGGGCTTTGAGGTTGCAAAAGCCTATACCATTCCTAGTTAGCAGCTCTTATTCTTGTGGACCAGAGGTGAGCTCCCAGCTACTGCTCTAGCACCAACCCTGCCTGCTGCCATCTCTGCCATGATGGTCATGGAATTACCTTCTGAAACTGTAAGTCCAATAACCTCTTTCTACTATAAGATACCTTTGTCATGGTGTCACAGAAAAGTAAATAAGGCATCTCCTGTCCATTATTTATTACCCATGGACACAATCTTTCCATCACTAGCCTTCATTGACTGATTTTGTTATTGTTGTTTTATTTGTTTGTCTGTTTTTCAGGCAGGATCTCCCTACATAGTCCTGGGTGTTCTGGAACTCTCTCTGTAGACCAGGCTGGCCTCAAACTCACAGAGATCCACCTGCCTCTGCCTCCCAAATGCTGGGATTAAAGGCGTGCACCACTACACCCAGCTCTTTGATTAACCAGGGAACGAACTCTTGTCCAGCTTTCCTCAGGGAGAATTTAGCAGATAGGAACTATATAAGGAAGCTCTAGACAAGATCTTTGGGTATTCCAGAGGACAGCCAGGCCCTGGAGGAAGCAGTCTGGCAAACATTTCAGGGGAATTTTTGCTTGGTGCCGTAAGAAGGCTAGGGTGCAATAAGCACGCAGCTGGTACTTGCAGACTCTCCTTGATACAGTTTAAGCTTCTATTGCCTTGCTGGAAAATTTCCCAGGCGCCAGATGAGCCTGAGAGTCCCCTGCTGTGGCTCAGCCTTTGGGACCTTAAATGAGAGAAGGCAGGAGTCCTAGGTTGAACTCTGAGTGACTTACCAGATTCTCGGTATCTGAGTCTTCTGAGCTGCTGATCACCACAATTCGCTCTTCTGAAATGGAGAGAGGGTAGAGGCATTAGGTCCTTCCTGATGTGTCCACTGGCTGGGGTGAGAGACACCGGCCACCCAGGAGAGTCCTTGTAAGCCAATGGGCTGGGGGTGACAGATGCCCTGTCCTGTGTGCATCAGGAGGAGATGGAGTATATATATATACTGGCACTGGCACTGGCAGTTTCAGGGGAAAGGAGTCAGAATTGGGGCATGGTCCCTCAGGTGTCCCACACTGGAATCACAGCGTAAACTACTCCTATCATACTCAATGGCAGCTCAGAGCAAGGTGTGCGTGGGAATCCTGGTAGCTTTGAGTGCCCAGGTAGGATCAGGCTGGGGGGGGGTATTCCAGATATCTGAGGACAGCATAGGGTCCTACCCAGGGGCCAGCCTCGTTGATCTCCCTACCTGTTTCCCTTGTGTCGCTGGTAACATGATTGCTGGTGAGCAGGAGGGTTTCTTCTTCTAGGATGGGGCTCTCAGGGTTGGAAGGCCCATCCAGATGGGGAGGTGAGACGGCCTTGGAAGTGCTGGGCCTGGGCTGCTCAGGGGAGCTAGTGGTCAACCTGTCCTCATCCTCCTCTGTGGACTCCATCTTGACCATCTTCCTGGAGCAATCACTGTGACAGCAGCACTTCCTCTTCTTGGACATGACTGTCTGAGAGGCTTCCTGCACAGTGGTTACAGGGGCGACTCAGGAGCCTCCAAGGGTTGCTGGGCTGAGGACCCTGAGCTGAGTGCCATGGGCTTGTGGCATGGTTTTGCTCCTGTTCCTTTAGCCATGCTGACCATATCTCTGCAATCAGGAAGCTCTCTTGGGTGGCCATGCACATTGGTCATGGCCGCTGGCCAGTCATCTCTGTTGGCCTCATAGCTTTGGCTGTCTCAGCATCTCAGCTGGGCTGAGAGTGGTTCAAGCTTATTGGGGGCTTCCTAGTGGAGCATCCCTGAGTAATGGAGAATATGGGGGTACATGCTGAGCAAATAAGACCTCAGGAAGGTCTAGATTGTCATCTGGCTATACCTCACTGTTGACTGGAGTCTGAGCCCTTCAGAGAGGCAGGGTTGAGTAGCGGAACTTACCTCTCGATAGGTGGGGGCTTTCATAGAGAAGGCATACACTGGCACAGGGTGCGCTCCGGGCACTGACTGTACCATGGCCACAGGCTGGGTCTTAGACATATTCAGGGCTTCAACCTGTGCCCTCTGCACTTCATTGGGCTAGAAAAAACAGGTAACATGAAAGTCAGAAAGGGCCAGGAACCCTGGGTCTAACAACCTGCCTCAGTTGTAAGTTTCTTGGTCCCAGTCAAAGAGCTCACAGGACAAGTAGTTCTTCCCAAACCCTCTATGACGTCACCTCCTTCTGACCTTGGGTTGCCAATACCCAGCTGGCATCAGCAATTTCCTGATAGGGCAGGAAGATACCTCAGGGACCACAGGGCCTAACTCCTCAGAACATGCCTGACAACTGGCCTAGCGTGCACGCCTCTAGAGTCAAGCTGCTCGCCATTGAGAGCAGCACCTCCCTCAGCAATGGTAGAGGTGCAGCAGTGAGAAAATCCAAGCATAGCCTCCCGTGAGCTTGCCCCTACCCCCGAGTCTTAACTGTCCAGCAGCCGCTACACAATGGAATTACTTAAAACTCACTGGGCCTCAGTCTCCTCTCCAATAATGGCATAATAACATTTGCTTCATAAGGCAATATGGATGAAAGGTGCCAAACACCTTCAACATATCTAAAAGAGTATGTAGCCCCTACAGAGCTCCGGTAGTGGGTAGATGAGGATTAGATTAGCCAGAATGGATATAATACTGGCTTTATTACTATTCCATGTCAGATTTGGTGCTCAGGGGTTTGTGTATCTATATCAAAATGAAGCAGGGGTTGTTCCTCAAGAAGTGAAAAAGGAGCTGGAGAGATGGCTCAGAGGTTAAGAGCATTGGCTGCTCTTGCAAAGGTCCTGGGTTCAGTTCCCAGCACCCACATAGCAGCTCACACCCATCTGCCAGCCCAGTTTTAGGGGATCTGATACTCTCTTTTGGCCTCTTCAGGCACTGCACACATATGGTACATGCATATGCAGGCAAAACACTCATACACAAAAAATAAAAAGAAATAAATTGCCACATGGCTTCCCAGTTCTGCTCCTAGGTACCACCCCAAAAGTACTTAAGGTAAATGTTTAAATGCAAGCTTACACATGGGACTGGGCAGGCAGTTCAATGGTAAAGAACCTGCCTACCATGTACCAAGCCCCAGATTCGGTCCTCAGAACAGGAGCAAAGCGTTTAAACGCCTTATCTTTGCTTTTGTAACTCTGCAGCTGCTGGCATATAAAAGGGTCTCGTTCTACTTAGACCGGAACTCCCTATCGGCAAGGCTGGGCACCTCCGCCTCTGTTCCCTCAACTCTCCACCCACCAGTACTAAAGAAGAAGACAGTGAGGGAGAAAGTCACAACTGGCTTATAGTTGTCTTAGAGCAGCAGTTCTCAACCTGTGGGTCGTGACCGCTTTCTCCTTTGGGGTTGAATGGCCCTTCCACAGGGGTCGCCTGAGACCCATTGCAAAACACAGATATTTACATTACAATTCCTAACAGTAGCAAAATTACAGTTATGAAGTAGTAACAAAAGTAATTTTATAGTTGGGGTTACCACAACCTGAGAAACCATATTTTTAAGATGATTTGTTTAGTATACAGTGGGGTTCTGGCTGTGTATATGTCTGCTGACGGTCAGATCCTCTGAAACTGGAGTTACAGGCAGTTATGAGCTGCCATGTGGGTGCTGGGAACTGAACCCGGGTCCTTTGGAAGAGCAGTCAGTGTTCCTAACCACTGGGCCATCTCTCCAGCCCCCAGGGGTCACAGTGTTAGAAAGGTTGAGAACCACTGGGTTAGAGCTTTAAAATCATAAATACTTTCCCTTCTGAGGCAGTTCTGTGAGGGCCAGAGCCACCTCTCTTGACAGGACCGACAAGGCAGTCATATTACCCTGAGACAGGTCTGTGCCTACCTGACCTTTGCACCCATGCACTGCTGCCCACCCCTTTCTGAGTACTATGCTCAGTACCCAGGTTACGACTGACCGTGGTGTAAAGCAGGAATAATGTAAAGCAGATCCCTGCCAAAGTTCAAGCTCAAACTGCTTCACAGCCAAGTCTCTTCGGGTCTGCAACTCTGCAGGAGGCCTTAGACGCCAGGCTTTCTAGGAGCTCGAAAATTCTCCAAGCCCTGCCTCCCCCAGGAAGCCTTTCCCAACTGCTGTAGCCCACAGCAATCTCTTGCCCGTGGGTCACCCCAAGGCAAAGCTAGAGAGGCCTAATACTCTTGTTGCCCATCAGAAGTCCCGGGCCCACATCCTGACATGCAGACACACACATTGGAATGACCAAGCTAAGGAGGGTGTAAGATGTCAGGTGCAGGAAGGAAGTGGGAGGACTCATCCTGCCTAAGAGGAGTGCTGGTGGAGGAGAATGGGAAGGATGCCCTTGTACTTCTACCCTGGGAAGCACTAAGTCAGAGCAATCAGAGGAGGGAGCACCACCTCAAGAATGAATGGATTTCCTGTCCCCAAAGGCATGTGTGTGTATGCAGCCAAGGGTGCAGCAGAGGGAATACCAACATGAGAAGACCTAAGGATGTCTTCCCACCCCGAGAAACGAGAGCTTTTAGTTATATGATGGCCCTGGAATCTGTGGGATTGAGCTCTTGACTCCTAGCCTTAAATCCAAGAACCATGTGGGTAGGGGAGGAGGTCCACCTATGCCAGCCTTAGGAAATGTCTCGTACATTCCGTATGAGCTTCAGGGATGTCCTGTGCCACATCCAACAGAGCCATTGTTTACATTTACTTCCTCCACTTCCTGTCCACCTCTGGGTCTGATCTCTCCTGAAGTAGCTCATGGCCCATCAAGAGCTACTCAGGCATTCAGGAACCCTCACCAACCAGCAAGCCCTTCCTTAACCTTTCCTTAACACTCTCCTCCCGAGAGCTCCAGTCCAGTCATTGGCTGTCCCCTCTCAGGCACTCTCCCCGTTGTCACAGGACATCAGGACTCCCAACCACTGGTCTACCACCTCTCCTCACACGTCAAACCCCCTCTCACCTGCTCGAGGTCAAAAGAGTCCTTGGGAGTGCTGGCTGCCTTTGGGCTGGCTCTCCCGGCTACAGCTGCATCTAGAAAACAAAACAAAACAAAGAAAGCATGGGGGCAGTCTAGTAAGCAGAATTCTGGGCTGGGACAGTGACAGGGCGGAGGTCCTTGCTGCTTTTCCGGGGGTATTCACCACTGGGCATGTCTCTACAGAGAGACTGGAGCTGACTGCTGTAGGCATGAATCCAGCGAGAACAGAAGGGAAGGTAGCACTTTGACTCTAAATCCCCAGGGCATCTCCATTCTAGGACCGCACCTTTACGAGCCCATAGCCACCAGCGCCAGGAGGAAGCCTTTATTCTTGGAACCTGCCGGGAGCCAGTACAGGTAGCCCTCATAGCTGCTCCAAGTTGAACTTCTAAAAGCTTTCAATAAAAACCCTGCTGGTGTACATGTGCACCCGTGGTCTTTGCTGTGAAAACCCCTTGATGCCACGAGCTCAGAGAGGACACAGCTCCGGGATGCTGATTTAGAGCCAAGCTTGTGTCTAAGCTACATGGCCCAGGATCCTCTCCCAATTGGACGGGACAACTTTTGAGGGATGAGCTGGTCTTCCACTTCTGTATCATAACGGTCTAGTACCAGTAAGAACCTAGAGACCGGCAGTTGGCTGCTTCTTTTTAGGAGAGTTCTTTCTTTTGGTCAGACTAAGTACCTCACTGCTAGGTTTTCTGAGCCCCCTTCTCTCCTAACCTTACACCCCAGTTGATTACTCTTTTCCTGGGTGAGGGGACTTAGGAGACCCCTAGAGTGTGCTGCAATGATACCACATCCGGTTCTCAGCTCAGCAGCTTCTCAATTTCCACGTTTCCCAAGGTTGACAAAGTCACATCTATTCCACAGAGTTGTATAAGTTAGCAAAGTGCCTCCTCTGGGTGCCTGCCACAGGAAGTCATCCTGTTCTTTTATCCTGTCCTCTGGAACCTAAGGCTTGATAGTTCTCTTTCATCTACCAGAGATCATCATTTCTGTCTTGCTGTCCCCTAGGGGCAGCAGTGAAGCATGGGACCTTTAAATGTCAAACCAGCTGCCCATAAGTGTGGTCTCAGCACTTACCTGTCCTTGGGGTGACGCAGGAGATGAGGTCCTGCAGACACATCTTGAACTCCTCGAAGCCGCTGGTGCGCAGCTGGACTTGCTGGTTCTGGGGCTCCTCCTGGCGCAGGCGGCAGAGTGCCCTGCGCAGAAAGGCGTGCATGTCCAGCACCTCCTGGTCGGAGGCATAGAGCTTCATCCTCTTGACCAGCGCCTCACCAGTGCGGATGCGCTGCAGCACAGCTTCCAGGTGGCCCAGCTGACCAGCTATTTCCTGGTAGTCACGCTGGTAGCGTGCATTCACTGCCTCGAGCAGTTCCCGCTCCTGCGCCTGCACATGCTCTACCACTTGGCGAACACGGGAGCGGATTTGCTCCTCAGCGTCTGTGCGTGCCTGCTTCAGCTGGCCTATGGCCGAGCGCATCTGCGAGTGAGCACTGTCGAAGGTCCTTTCCTGCTCCTGCAGCGCCTGCGTCATGGTGCCCAGTTCCTCATGCCACTGCTGGATCTCCTCGCCAATGTCGCACTGGAGAGTGCCATGGCTGCGGTCCAGGATTGCACATGCGCAACACAGAGGCTTGGCGCAGCCTCGGCAGTAGATGCTGCGGATACATGAGACCCACTTAGGACATGCTATTTCTCAGCTTATGTTTTTTCCTACTCAGTGTCTATGGCTATGGTTATGATACCGAATCTATCCATAAAATACAAGACAATAAAAAAGCTACTACAGGGCCAGCAAGTTCAGGGAGTAAAGGCGCTCACAGGCAAGCCTGACAACCGAGTTTGATTCCCCAGAACTTATATGGTGGAAAGACACAACCAACGTGTGCAAACTGTCCTCTGGCTTCTACATGCATGCCATAGCACATGTGCACCCACACACACATACACACATTTTTTAAAAAGTTAAAAAAATGACCACAGTACCACAGTAACAATTCCTCTACCTATGCAGCAATGCAGACATATACAAAAAAAAAAAAAACCAAAAACCACTTTCTGTCATTCCTTCCTCTTTCTTCCTTCCTTCCTTCCTTTCTTTCTTTTTATTTTTTTTCTTTTTGGTTTTTCAAAATAGTGTTTCTCTCACTGTGCAACAGTGCTGGCTGTCCTGGAACTCACTTTGTAGACAAGGCTGGCCTCAAACTCATTGAGATTTGCCTGCCTCTGCCTCCCAAACGCTGGAGTACCACCACCGAACGGCCTGCCCGGCCCTCCTGGCCTGCCTGGCCCTCCTGGCCCGCCATTTCTTAGCATCCCCTAACAACATGCCCTAACTCTAGCTCTGACCCCGGCCTGCCCACTCAGGCGTCAGCTGAGTATGGGATGGTTTCTTCCTCCTACCTCTCCACATCCCATCTCTGAAGCACCTGCTGTGCCTGTCACTCCACCTTTGGAAGCACTGGCCGGGTACTTTTACTATTCTCTTTTCACAGATGAAGGAACCAAGACTTACAGCTAAGCAAAGTGCTGGGTTAATGTTTGTACTTAAAAAATAAAACCATACTACAAGTACCTGGTAACTTCCTTCTCTACTCTTTCATTCGGGACATTCCTTTAGGTCCATAGGGACAAACTTAATGTTTTTTTAAGAGCTCCTTTATAGCTACATGTACAATTGTTTGATTCAACAGGCTCCCTTTTCACAAACACTCATGTGATTTCCTGTTTGTGCATTTTCTTTCTGTTTTTCTTCTCTCTCCCTTCTATTTTTGACTGGTGTGAATGGTGATTTAATAGCATAACATCATGTTAGGCAGCCTAATATATGGGTTCCTTTCTCTCTATGAAATAGAGTCCAAAAAATAGATTGCTAGATCAAAGAATATATATCTCTATCTTAATATTTTATGCATGTAAACATATTAATTAATGGTAAGTATGTGATGTCATGGATATTCTAATTAGTTGAATTTTCCCAGTTCTACAAGGTATATCACAGTATCATGGTGTATATGATAAATATACATATAGTTTTTATTAGTCAATTTAATATATAGGCTAACAGAAACTTTCACAGCATTTTCTGTAGCCATTCTACCTAATTTTTGAATATGTTACAAAGTGAGAAGACTTTAAATGTGTGATTAAACCGGGTGGTGGTGGTGCACGCCTTTAATCCCGGCACTTGGGAGGCAGAAGCAGGCAAATCTCTGTGAGTTCAAGGCCAATCTGGTCTACTGCGTGAGTTCCAGGACAGGCACCAAAGCTCACAGAGAAACCCTGTCTCAAAAACCAAAACGTGTGTTTAAATTAAGAAACTTGAGGTTATAGGAGCTGCAGAGAAGGCTCAGAAGTTTAGAGTACTTGGTACTCTTCCAGAGTTCCCCAGTTTGATTCCCAGCACCCACACGGTGACTCACGACATCTGTAAGCCCTGTTCCAGATCGATGCTCTCTTCTTACTTCTGTGGGCCAAGCACACATGGGCACGCATACATGCAGTCAAAACACACAAATAAATACACCTTTAAAAAAGATGTTTAAAAGGAATTTTAAGATTGAGAGATTATCCTAAGTTATCTGGGTGTAATCAAGAGTTGTCATAAAAGAAAGAAGGGCAGCGGAGGAGCGAGAGAGAAGCTGATGGGAGCAGAGGCTGGAGCGACGCTCTCCTGTTGGCTTTGGAGATGGACGGGAACACGAGCCAAGGAACATGGGCAGCACAGAAACCAGAACGGATTATCCCAAGTCTGCCAAGGGGGTCAAGCTCTGGTGGCACTTTGATTTTGTCTCAGACCCATTTAAAACATTTGAAGTCCAGAGGGACAAGACAAGGGATCTGTTATTGTTGTAAACCTCTGAGCATGTGGCGATTCATTATAGCGGCAACAGGAAATTAACGCAGGAGCCAGGTCCACGCTCTTAACCATCATAATGCTCTTGCTTCAAAAGTTCCTAGGAAAGATACTTTCAGCTACTTCTCCAAAGATATTCCAGAATTTACTCTCACCCCTGACGTTAAGAAAAAGCTCATTTGAGTTCTGGGGAAAGGTCTTACCTGGGGTCAATTTGGCTTCTGTTACCAAGATCAACATGACGCGGAACTATCAATAGAGCTGCTGGTTAGACCCTGGTCCTCACTCTCCCCAGACCACTCAAAGAGATAATTGCTTCTGCCCTCGATGGAGGCTTATTCCAAGACAGCAAAGGATTCCCAGAGAGCCCAGAGTGTGGGAAGAGAACCGGCTGCAAGCATGCAGCTCTTCCATGCATGGAGTCTCCTGCTACCTAGCGAGAGCCAGACTGGAGCAGCAATGGAGCGGAGGGCTGTACCTCAGGCTGATGCCGCTCGCAGGTCACAACTTCCAAAGCCCCTAACTCTCTGAGAAGGTGAAGGGCCGACCCCGAATCAGGGTAACTCCATCATGCAGGAATAATCATCTTAGCCAGGTGGTCCCTTCCCCCACGTCTGAGGGACACTCACTGAGTCCGTACTGTGTGCTTGGCACTATGAAACAGTCGGAGGTGAGATGGGCATCTACACAGGGTTCTGTGCCAAGAACAGATCTAGTCAAGACAGAGAGTTGTGTCTCCAGAAGGGCAAAAGACCAGTTGTTTCCTCCCAGAATATACAAAAGAATTAACTAAAAAACTACTGAGTCAACAAGAAATTACTCAGCAAAATGGCTGTATTCCACCAGAATTGAAAGAGAGAGAGAGAAAGGAGATGGAGAGGGAGAAGGTGGAAGAGGAAGAGAGGGGGAGAAGACAGAAAAAAGGGAGAGAGAGGGAGAGAGAGAGAACACTTAATTCTGCTTCATCAAAGGAAATAAAAACAAATCAGGGTGGGTGGGGGTTCCATTCACAACAATAGTCCAAATTGTTACAAAATACTTAGGCATACTAGCAAGAAATATGTATGCTTTATATGAAGAAAATAACAAAAACACATTAGAAGTTAGTCTTTAAAGCAGAAAAGTGGGGCCAATGAGATGGCTCAGCAGGTAAAGGTGGGAGCTATCAAACCTGACCACCAAATTAGAGCTCTGTGGCAAAGAAAAACCCCAACCTCTTTGGGCTGACCTTTGACCTCCACATCTGTGCTGTGGCAAGTGCACACAGGCACAAGTACACAATCAATCAGTCAATGTCCTGGCATGGGGAGCAGGAAGAAGGCACCAAGCCTGGTGGCTCACAACTATCTGTAATATGATCTGGTGCCCTCTTCTGGCCTGCAGGGATACATGCAGGCAGAACACCGAATACATAATATATAAATAAATCTTTAAAAATGTTGCAAGAAAGATGAATTTGGGGGCTGGGAAGACTGCTTAGTAGGTACAGTGCTCACTGCTCAAGCAAGGGGCCTGAGTTTGGATTCTGAGCACTCACATAAAAAGCAAGGCAAGGTGGGGGCAGACACAGGTGGATCCCTGGAGTTTGCAGCCTGTCAGTCTGGCTGAATTAGGGAGCCCCAGAATCCATGACTCTGTCTCAAAAAGTAAGGTGGAAAACAATCAAAGAAGACACTAACATCAACTTCCAGTCACAGTCACAAACACACACACAGTCATGCACACACACACACACACACACACACACACAGCCAAAGACACATACACACAAGCATGCACAGTCATGTATACATACACACAGGCATGCACACATAGGCATGTACACATACACACAAGTTCAAGGCCAGCCTGAAGAACTAGTCCCAGGACAGGCTCCGAAGCTACAGAGAAACTTTGTCTCAAAAAACCAAAAAAAGAAAAAAGAAGAAAAAAAATATCCAAAATAATTGGTTAAGGCCATGAGCTAAAAAAGGATATTCAGTAAGAGAGAAAGATAACAGCATGCCACTCTATTGTATACATATATAAAAATAGCCAACTCTGCCATTTACTTATGCCCATCTTGAATGCCACACTAACCTTAACAGTTTTGGCAGAATATTTCCAAAGTGTAAGATACGCCATGGCAGAAATTTGTTACAAAATTCAATGACCAAAATTCATCATTAAACATTAACAGAATCTGGTGTTATACAAAATAGACAATGATTCCCTATGTAACACGAACAATTCTGGAGTTATCAAGTAAGCTATAAAAATGACTATCATGTGGTTTTGCCTGTATATGGTAGTTCTAATGTTGGTTACCCACTCAAATGATGTTAAGTAAGTTTCCTTTCAAGTGTAGTGATACTTTTAGGTTATTAATTAAAAAACACTGGAAAAATAAACTAAAAGGCATGAGATTTATGGTAGCAAAGCAAGAAAAAGGTAAGAAGGCAGAAAGTGAGGAGAAAGCAGAGCAATGTAGGAAAATGTCCCTGAAGTTTGAGACTGATGGAGTCTGACAAGTTCCCGAATAACCTGATACGAAATGTTCACTGTCAAGACAGCTTGGGTGTCTCAGGTTTCTATTGCTGTGGTGAAACACCATGACCAAAGCAACCCGGGGCGGACAGGGCTTGTTCTGCTCACACTTCCACAGCACTGTTCATCACAGGAGGACGTCAGGACAGGAACTCACACAGGGCGGGAACCCGGAGGCAGGAGCTGATGCAGAGGCCATGGAGGATGCTGCTTACTGGCTTGCTTCCTCTGGCTTGCTCAACCTGCCTTCTTATAGAACTCAGGGTCCTCACACAT